AGTAGGTTTCTGATGGCTAAAATAACTTGAACATTCATTGGAATAGCATATGGTGTGGGGGAAGATACTTGAGTTTTGAAGTGTGCCAACCCAAGTGCACCCATGGAAAACTGGTAATAATTTGAATTCCTCATGGAGCTAATGCCAAGAACATAACTGTATAAAGAAATCTGCAGGTACTACATGAAGTCTTGCATGTACAGACTGCTTTTTTTATGAAAGAAAAGGTATTTTTGTTGGAAGATTGGAGAAGTGGAGACTCATTTCTGCATTCCCTGTTTAGTAGCAAAACAAACAAAAAAAACCCTGCATTGCATCTGCAATGAAAAAAAAAAAAAAAAAAAAAGAGTACTAGAAAGTTTTATTTATTTAAAAGCAAAGGTTAAAGGTTAAAGTTATTTCCATGTATATTCGCTAGTAAATATGTAAGTCTGCTTATTTACATTTAGCTGTTGATTTCTGACTTAGTTTCTGTTAAATTGTTTTGCTTTTTTTTTTTTACCAACAGATGTGCCTTAGAAGTCTATTAGTTAGTAGTTTGGTTTGTTTTTTGTTGGACTTTTTTTTCCACAGTAAACATTCTTTTGTTGCTAGCATTGGTTCCCACAACAAATTCAGAAATCATGTCAAGTAAGCTTTGTTAGATTAAGCTCATAATTCTGCCATCTGAGACTGCTGTAAGTAAGGTATTGAGAAAAGAAGGATTGAAATCTTCTAGGCATGGAGTGCATACTTTGTCAGAGGTTCCAGCTGAAATGCTGGATATCTACTACTGTTCTTTGTGTGCAATTTAGGGTGGATGTATACAAAATAGCTTAATCACAAAGCTAATAAAAGCATGTAGATACAAACTGTGTGACTGAAGCTGTAGTCATGAATAGTTGCCTTGAATTTAAAAATTAAAATTAAAATAAAAAATAGTCCTAATGTAGCAGCATGCTGTTGGTACAATATACACTTCCATAATACAGAAGAGCAGAAAAAGTTTGATATGATAAGCAGAAGAAATATCATGACGTCTTGTAAGTATCTAGATAGTAGATTTTTATTCCTTTTCCATGCTGATATATTTGTTGTTACATGAAAGGTAACTTTTATGGTATTAGTTAAAAAAATCTCATCTCTTCAGAAGCCAAACATTCATTTTTCAAAATTTTTTCTTTGAAATTGGTCTGGAAGTTTCTTTTGATAACGGACACTTCAAAATAAATTGATTTTTCTAAGGGTAAAGTAACTTCATTCTATAAGCTCTATAGGCCCTTCAGAGGGACAGACAGGGTAGGAAGGGAGAGGGAGTTGTCCTTTATGCTAGGAAGTGGATAGACTGTGAAGAGCTGTGTCTGAGTAACAGCCTTGACCAGGTTGGGAGTGTATGGGTTAAAGTCAGGGATTGGTCCAGTAAAGGACATCTAGTGGCTGGAATCTACTACTGGCCACCTGATCAAGGGGAGCCTTTGCAAGGCCTTCTTGCTTCAACTCCAGAAAGTGCTGTGCTCATGGGCTCTTGTTCTTATGGGGGATTTCAGCCACCCGAATATCTGCTGGGATAGTGGCACGGCAGGTGGTAGACAATCCAGGAGCTTCTTGGAGTCTGTTGAGGATAACTTCCTGGTCCAGGTACTACACGAACTGACCTGGGATAAGGCCTTACTGGACCCGGTGCTTACTAATGCAGAGGAGAACACTAGAGATGTTAAGACTGGAGGCAGCCTGGGCTGTAAGTGATCATGCCCTGGTGGAATTTGTGATCTGGAGGAGTGCAGGCCTGGCAGACAGTAGAGTCAGAACCCTGAACTTCAGGAGGCAAGCTTCCAGCTGCTCAAGAAACTGCTGGATAGGATCTCTTGGGAAGCTGGCCTTTAGGGCATGGGAACAAACAGAACTAGCAGCTATTTAAGGACATCCTTCTGTGAGTGCAAGAGCTCTCCATCCTCCAGCAGAAGAAACTGTGCAGAGGAGGTGGGCAACCAGGACCTTCAGCTTTAATTGAGGGAAAAGAATGAAATGTATGGGAAGTGGAAGCAGTGTTGTGTAGCCTGGGAAGAATACAGGGATGTTGTCTGCATATGTAGAGATAAGATCAGAAAAGCCAAGGCACAGCTGGAGCTGAACTTGGTAAAGGATCTGAAAAATAACAAGGGGTTCTATGGCTACATAGACAGGAGGAGACAGACCAAGGAGGGTGTTCTACCTCTGATAAATGAGAGTGAAGGACTGGCTTCATTAGACATGGAAAATGCTGAGGTGCTCAATAAGTGCTTTGCTTCGGTCTTCACTGGTGATCAGGCTCCTCATGTCTGCCAGGACCCTGAACCTCTACATCTGGGTGAGAGTGGTGTATTCCATCCTAGTGTTACAGTGGAAAAAGTCCAAGGTCTCCTCGTGAAACTGAATATACATAAGTCCATGGGGCCAGATGAAATGCATCTCAGAGTTCTAAGAGAGATGGCAGATGTGGTTGCCAAGCTGCTTGCCGTTGTATTTGAAAAATCATGGCTATCGGGTGAAATCCCCAGTGACTGGGCAAAGGGAAACATTCTTCCTTTCTTAAAAATGAGAGTAAAGAATGATCTGGGGAACTACAGGCTGGTGAGCCTCACCTCAGTGCCTGGAAAGATCACGGAAAAGATTCTTGTGGTTACCTGTTAAAGCACATAAAAGGTAAAAAGGTGATCCACAACAGCCAGCATGGCTTCACCAAGGACAGATCTTGCCTGACCAATTTAGTGGCCTTCTATTATGGAGTGACAGCATTGGTGGAAAGGAAAGATGTCATCTATGTGGAATTCTGCAAAGCTTTTGACATGGTCCCTCACCACATCCTTCTCTCTAAATTGCAGAAGAACGGATTTGGAAGATGGACTGTTTGATGAATTAAGAACTCGTTTGCTGGTAACAGCCAAAGGGTTGTGATCAGTGATTCTATGTCAGAGTGGAGGCTGGTCACAAGTTACGTCCCTCAAGGCTTGGTCCTGGGACCAGTGTTCTTGGACATCTTCATCAATGACATAGACAATGGAACTGAGTACACTCTCAGCAAGTTTACAGATGATACCAAGCTGAGCAGTGTAGTTGATATACTGGATGGAAGGGAAGCCATCCAGAGGGACCTGGTCAAGCTGGAGAAGTGGGCCCATGTGAACATAATGAGGTTCAACAAGTGCAAAGTGTTACACTAGGACCAGCAAAATCCCAGGTATTTATATAGACTGGGAGAAGATCTCAAGAGCAGCCTTGTGAAGAAGGACTTGAGGATCCTGGTGGATGAGAAGCTGAAGATGAATCAGCAGCGTGCACTGGCAGCCTGGGAGGCTAACTATATCCTGGGCTGCATTAAAAACTGGGTGGCCAGCACCCAGAGGGAGGTGATTTTTCCTCATCTCTTGTGATGCCCTGTCTGGAGTATTGCATCCAGGCCTGGGGCCCCCAGCACAAGAAAAATGCAGAGTTCTTGGAACTGGTCCAGAGGAGGGCCACTAAGATGATCAGAGAGCTGGAGCATCTCTAAAGAAAGGTTCAGGAAACTGGCCTTGTTTAGCTTAGAGAAGAGAAAGCCCTGGAAGAGCTCTCTGTGGCCTTACAGTACTTGGAGGGAGCATATAAGCAGGAGGGGAAATGACTGTTTACAGGGGTTGATAGTGATAAGACAAGGAGGAATGGTTTTAAACTAAGACAGGAGAGATTTAAGTTAGAAATTAGGAGGAAGATTTTCACCCAGAGGGTGGTGATGCACTGGAGCAGGATGCCCAGAGAGATTGTGAATGCCCCATCCCTGGAGTCATTCAAGACATGGCTGGATGTGTCTTTGGGCAGCCTGGTCTAGTGGTTGGTGACCCTGCCCACAGTGGGGTTGAAACCAGGTGATCTCTGAGGTTCTTTTCAACCCAGGCCATTCTATGATTCTATAATATGTCAATTTCCACAGCTGTAATTCTGAAACTGGGCCTTAACTATTATATACTGTTTTGTACGTGAAGGGTATAAATTAAGTCCTCAAATAAATAGGTTATTAACTAGATTTTAACTAAATTGTGCACTGTTACGCCTCCAAGAATACGTGTTTTGGAAGCAAAATCATAAGAGGTTATCATGAAGAGATGCCAATAAAATGTTGAGGCTGAATAGGGCGAGACAATTACTTGCTAATACTATGCACACTAACTTAATGATTCCATGACTTTCTTGGCTTTATAATCTAATCTGACCAGAATTTATGTGTTTTCCAATGATAAATGTGTGGCAAGTATCATCTGTTAGTGTTTTCCTTCAAGTAGAATTTATTACTTCACTAGTTGAGATATGAAGGTTCTCACTTCGGGCAAATGAGAGCCTCATGTTGGGCTGTCTTCTAGGAATTTTGATTGAAATGCTTGGAGGTGCCACTGGTGAAATAAAAAATAAATCTTCACCCTCCAAGTAAAGAAAAAGCTGAAGCTGGTACTGTGGGAACTTGGTCCTAAGAAGTACAGATGATTCTTGGAGAGGATCAGTGACACTTATTTTAAGACTAATGTAAAGGAAGTAGAAAATTTTTAGAATGGAAAATCAGAGGCTTGAGAAGTTAGAAAGAACCTTGTTCGTTTGAAACTTTCCAGAGTCAACAACCACAGAGCAAGGTATTTCAAAGTTGTACAAGGATCAAGAAAAGAGATTTCCACCAGTTACCAGAGAGAACATTAATGAAGCTTTTATGCAGAATGAAGTCAGAACGTGTCCATCTGAGAAGACTTTGGGTCACACTGAAGTGCTAGCATGCACTGCTTTTGTCCAAAATAGGCTTAGCTAGATTGAGAACTGTGCATAACAAGAAGTACTTCTGGGATAACTCAGATAGTTAGAAAATTCTACCTCAAAGTACACAAAATTCTGTTGTAAATTCTTTAATGCATTAAAGACTTTATTTGAAGGGTCGGAGTTGCAAATACCAGTGTAAAACAAAGGGAATTTCACATAGCTTAGGGGTAGTTCCTAATAGTTTTTTATTTCTGATTTTGTTTTAGAGAGTGTCAGTCTGCTATATCTGATCTACAATGAATGCCAAATCTGCAATCAACAAAGAAATTTTTGCCCCCCATGATGAAAGGATGCTGGGAGCTGTCCAAGTTAAAAGAAGAACGAAAAAAAAGATTCCTTTCCTTGCTACTGGGGGTCAGGGTGAATATTCAACATATATCTGCCTGTCAGGTAAGATTAAAGATTCTGACATCCAGTTGTCTGTTTTAGTTTATCTTCAATGAATTGATTACATGTTACCCATAGCTGTGCAGTGCTGGCTGACTTGAATCTTACTAATGTAAGCAGAGAATAATAGCATTTGGAACGCAGGCTATTAATATTTGTGCTGCATAATAAATAGATTAGGTGATTTCTTTGTTTAAAAAAATGTTCTCTTACAGCATAACTGCAGATTATGAAGAAAGAACATTTGGAAAAATGTTTTCCTATCAGGTTTGAGATATTTCTTGGAGGGATAAAATTTATGTTGTACCTGCTTTTTAAGCCCTGAAATGTCTGATTTGAAGCAAATATATTTTCCTCTTCTTTTCATAATTATATCTGTGTCACTGGGTCCTTAAAAATGAAACTTTCATCCAAAATATTGCTTGTTGACATACAGCACCTCTGTTGGTCTTCAGTCACTTGACTTTAAAAAAGTGAAGGAGGAAATAGATGCTTTGAAGGAGAAAATGATGTAAAGACCTGTTTTGAGACATCACAGGCTACAGGGAGTAATGACCTATTAGTCAGTAAGCTGTTCACGTGAATCATGAGTTTCTCCAAGGTCAAAACAGTACTAGTGAGAGTCTGAATTTCAGTTTTTGTAGAACAGGCTGGGTAGTAGTTGTATGTTTTGCTACATACTTTTTATATTTTCTAATGAAAGTGGTGTCCAGTTCATTTACTTTAGTATATATAAATAAAACACATTAAATTAAGTCCTCTGTAGTATTGATGTCTGCCAATTGAGTTTGTGTGAATATATATGGTACCCTAAGGTGTTGTAGTCATGTTTTTAAGCATCAGTTGCTTCCTTAGAGGGTGTGCACCTTAATAGAGGTAAAATCAGTAGTCAGAGGATAAGTGCTCTGTAAAGATCAGTAGATTACCATTGTGTTTGAAGTAAGCGGAAAATAGAGTTTAACAGACTCTGTCAAATGTTTTTTCACTGCAAATTAAATTAAAACTTTCAAAATATAGAATTTATAGCAACCATGGAAATGCTGGGTTTTGAAACATGGTGCATAGGTGCAGAATTTATAAGTTGCCAAATAACATTTGTGTATGTATGTAAATATGTAAATAAGCATATATTAAACGTGAGCTGCACAGCATCTGTACACTCATACTGATCACAATTAGGCAAAACAGATTTAATATTTTCTACTTGCCATTTTCCCCCTTTACAGTAGTTTAAAGAAAGGGTTTGATTCAGCTAGGATTTTTCCTGGATTTGTGGTTGGGATATCCTCTTAGGATGTAGGGATTGGAAGTTTCTATTTCCTCACAAAATGAAGAAAAAAGGAGTTCTAATTTCTGACTTGTTATGGATCAAGGCTCAACTCGTTTTCTTTTTGGTGGTCAGTTTTTAGAATTTTAATTTACTTTTCCTGAGTGGTCTTATTTAAAATAATAATTTTGTTTTAGGACAGTGCGGGCATTCAGAGTGCGTACGTAACACATCTGTGTTCATGAGTATAGGTTAGAGGCATGAGTTATGCTCGCAGTATTATGTAGGTGAATTCTATTCATCTGATTGTTGGTTTTTTAATTTATTTTATCTTTTTACCATTCTGAGGAACTTCTCAACTCAGCCATCCCCATGTTCGTGTGTAGCAGCCAAAATGAAAAATGTACATTAAAGATGTTAAATGGTCTGGGATGCATCTAGTGTCTTTCTGCAACAGGATAATGTGTCATGAGTAAGAGAAATAGCAGAGGTCTTGATTTCAGCATAGCTTCTCATTAATGACAATGAGAAGTATTTACAGTTTAAATAAAATTACTGTGTGTTGGGTACTGGAAATCTGCATTATTATATTAGGAGAGTTATATGTGCCATGCTGTTAGTAATGTTCTGCAGTAGTATGAAACAGATTTCTATTAAGTGTCATAGTAGTCTATGGTATCAAACATATTGTATGACTGGGAATTTCAGTAGATGACAACAAGAGACTGGGTCTACCAGGCTGTACTCACGTTTGAGGGCAGATTTATAATTCGAACGTGATCAAAAATATGATCAAATGCAACAGGATTGCAGGCACAGTTAGTCAAGAGTAATTGATGACACAAAACTAAAGGGTAGGTAGTAACTGTTTCTGCCACTATTATTAAAAGAAATTGAACTAATAATGATCTTAGTTGCAGCAAGGAGTTGTGTTATCTTTATGGATTTATTTTATTTTTTTTAATTTATAAGTTACTGTATGAATGGCAGTTCTGCTGTATCCACAGCCGAACATGAATTTTATCTTGGGGTTGCTGAATGTACTTATATACTCTGTTTCCATCCATTTTTCTGTGATTTAGCATTAAGTGTGAGTAGCATTGGTGGAGAGCTCTGAATGTTAGTTTCCACTTAAAATGAGTGTTGCTGAGTGTTGCAACACTAGTTTTAGAAACAAATCTGGAAGCCTTTCACTCTTGTCCAATTTTTTTTTCCCCCAGGTTTCTGTATATTAGGTAAATATAGTTAGTGACTAAAATATCTTCGTGTTCTTAGTTTCCTTAAACCGATTCAATCTGTCTTTTGCTAAGGGAAATTTGATAAAGTTTAAGGCTGAATTCATCAGTTGAAAGAATCTTCTTAAAAACTAACTTGTTAAGAGACTTATAAATGTTTGGGAATACAAATGTGTCTTGCCTAGTTATAGTTTAATTCAAGACTGAGCGCAGAAATCTAGATACCTGACATTGTAATAGCTGCTTTTATTTTCTACTGAGTTTGTAACTGAAAAATTACACAGTTTTTTGTAATTTAGTTGGTTTGTTTTTTGTGTTGGATTGAAAAAGCATTACAATCTAATTGTTGTCTACCTGCTTTTTTGTAAATGAGGGCAGAGATCCTGAGCAGGGACAGCACACCACTCTCACCTTTAGGATTCCAAGATAACATAGCTGGTGTACTGAAGCATTAAAATAATCAAATGCTTAACAGAGCGAAGTGGGCAAGTAAGGGAGGTTCTTCCTTCAAAATTACATTTGTTGTATATACTGGAGTTTGAGTTTGAATTGGTTAGAAGGAAATACTCATTAATGCTTCAAAGAGGTATACCTAAAGCCTGACAGTTATGACTGAAGGCAGGAAAGAATGCTGCTGCAAAACTGCTTACTGCACTCGTGAAGACTGAACAGTTGGATTACCTGCAACCTTCATGCCCTTTGTATTTACATGGCTGACAAAGACAGATGGGCAAGCATAGCCCAGGGAGATCCTAATGGAGTCATTTAGCTAAAGAACTGCAAGCAAAGAGTAGACAAATAAGAAAAACAAAGGTGAGGTGTGGTTGTAGGCAGAACAGAGAATATAAAAACTGGAATTATCATTATTATTATTAAATGTAGGAAATTATTTGATATAGAGAAAAGACAAGAAATTCAGAGCTGAAAGTGGGAATTTATCACCTCCTCCACACTAGGAGACTTGCTAACAGTTATTGGATCAGATTTAAGTTTTCTTTTTATAATCATTGTCTCATAATTCAAACAAATCTGTTTAGAAGAGCTCTCAAACTTATTTGGAATGTTATCTGAATTATGAAATGCTTAAAAGGTCACTTCAGAGGTATAAGATGTAGGCAATAATTTCTGAAACTAGATCTGTGTTATTTTCTGTGACGTGATATCATTATGATTTCTTAGTAACTTTGAACATTAAAAGGGGTTTTAATTTGTTATAATGCATTGGAAATTTTCCAGTTTGTACGTATGGAATTGGCATCGACCTTTCCAGAACTGAAAGTCTGTTGCAGTTGCAAGTAACTGAATGAATCAGATGGTTCCTTCTGAACCTGAATTCTTATGTGCCATAACTCTTAGCTGCACCATTCTCTTTCTCATCCTCCTTGTTAAAATGTTGGAATTTGTGTGTAAATATTAAAAGATAATATTGTTTAAAACTTAGGGTGGAAACTTTCTTTTTTGTTGTTGTTGTTACTGTTCCTCTCTTTACTGTCTCCAAATTAAATTAACATGCTTTCAGTTCAAGGATTTATTTATTTTTAGTGACTTCTATGTGAAACTGCAATTTTCTGAGAATGATGAAAGAAAATCTGAAAGGAAATGGGGAGAGAAGGGGGAAAGGCATATAAAAGAGCATACAAAAATTAGGTGTACATGCAGGGGAAGAGCATATTTATTTTCTCTACTTTCACTAAAATGTAACCTTATTGACCACATCACGTTTTTTCTCAAACAAAAAGTTTATAAGCTTTAAAAGAGATTTGTAGTTACCACAGTGTGCGGGGGTAGATTTTTCCCTTCTCCTGCTTCAGAGTATACAGAGAAACAGAGATACACCTTGTTATCTTAATTAGTTCTATGAATACCCTCTGTATTGGGCTCTTAGAACACACTTCAGCTAAAATCTAACCACACCACTTGGTTTCACTTTCAATAATAGCTTCATATTCTGTTTCTGTCTCCAGCCAGTGATGCCATAAAGTTGTTTTTCAAACATAAACTTGTTATTCCTTTCAAAGTGACTGCTCGTGGAATGGAAAGTTACTTGAAAATGACATATATCACTCCTTCCTTTGAAGATAAGTTAATGTGGCTGCCAGAAATTGGCCATAATTTAATTGAAAATTCCAGGGCAGGTTTTGTGCAATTGATTTTTCAGAGTGGTACTTGAGGTGAAAATTGAAAAGTAGTGATAAGGCATTTTTGATTAAAATAACTCACTTTCTTGAGTGTTCTCACTTGTCATGTCAGTTTTGATCCTGTGCTGAAGTTACCATTTCCTAATTTATTTCTTTAATTTTTCCTTTTCACATTTTCAGGATCTTATAATGAAGAGAATTCTCAAGGTTTCTTTTTGTTAGGATTCAAGAAATGAAAGTAAATTTCATTTTTCCACTCCTTTTCCAGGAGAATTTTGTAGGTACTTTGTCATATGGTGTAAAGAGTTGTTATTGGTTATTTTTCCAGGGATATTTTCTCTCTGTTTAAACATAGTATTAAGG